TGGTAGTGTCGAGAGCCTACATATATAAAAAAAATTATTTGACCATGTTTTCGAAATATGTTCGTACTGTAAGGAAGAGGTAGACAAACACACTTTATACGGAATACATAATATCCGTGATAATTTCCAGCAGTGAACAGTAAATTTGGTACATTCACACACGTTTCTCCGGCAATGTAGTCGGCATCGTCAGTTAGCCCTGCCATTCTCAGTACCAGACTACAATTCGTTAAAGAGACAAGCTAATTCAATCCTTTGACGAACTGCCTGCTGAACAGTTACGACATCTCTCCCTCTGTCATAGTGCATTCACTAATCCTACGATAATAAAGAAACGTCTGGGAAGGTACGAAGTCCACGGCTTGGTAGTGAACATTAGCATGGAAACTATGGACTCCGGACAAGGTGCATTAATCTAGGTCGACCTGAGAATATGACCAATTTTCGAAGACAAGGTCAAACCATTTATATACAATGAAAGGTGACCGCAACTTTACTAACGGACATACCATAATGTTCTTCAAAGCTTTGCCAAATGATATTGGTTATATATTCGTTAGAAGTTGTTTGACATGTTTTCGCAACTTGGTCATATTGGCAAGAAGATCTAGAGGATCTCACCTTGTCCCGAGGCTATAATAAGCATCATCACTTCCAGAGTCGGACCGCGGAGTTGGTACATTCCCAGACGTTTCGCCGGCATCGTAGTCGGCATCGTCAGTGAGCTTTACCATTGTTAGCACCACCCTACAACTCATCAAAAAGACAGGTGAAATCGATGATTTGACCAAATGTGTGCTAAACAGTTGTGGTATCTCTCCTTACGTCTTATCCTATAGCCTCGAATAACCCATTAACTATCACAATTTCTTACCTGTTTTTCTAGATCTGTTTGAAATAGACTCACTTATCTGCCTGTCGCAGTGATTTCACCGCATCGATGCCACTGTATCCGTGCTACTCAAGACGTTTTTCTACACTCTGCCTCAACCCTTTGATAGCACGTATACACCAGCCTTACAGCGCAAGCCTCTAAGGTCTGGATTCTCATTTGGCATGGCAACCTTACTTGACGCTGCAGATTCTCTTATCATTGTGCCGCCTGTGCACCGAGTGAATCTCGTGGTTATAACTTTACTTTATGGACCATGTCTATGAGGAAACTTATCTACTAATAACCAACTGGAAATGGCCACTACTGTTTCTCTCGCTCTTCGAAGACATTATATTGCGTGCCAGCCCCCAAATGTGATGGTTCCACATGATTTAAATAGGCTCAATGTTGACGTTTTCTCTTGGTTTCCGATTATTCTTTTATGGTCTCCTTTGAGCCTATTCAAATCAAGTATAACCATCACATTTGGTGGTTGGCACGCAATAGAATGTCTTCGAAGAGCGAGAGAAACATTAGTGGCCATTTACAGTTGGCTATTAGTAGATAAGTTTCCTCATATACGCGGTCCATGGAGAAAAGTTATGACCACGAGATTCACTCAGTGCACAGGCGGCACAACGATAAGAGAATCTGCAGTGCCAAGTAAGGTTGCCATGCCAAATGAGAATCCAGACTTTAGAGGCTTGCGCAGTAAAGCTGGTATATACGTGCTATCAAAGTCTTGAGGCAGAGTGTAGAATAACGTCTTTAGTAGCACGGATACGGTGGCATCGATGCTGTGAAATCACCACAACAGGCAGATAAGGGAAGGATCCAGCGGGGAGTGTGAATATATTTCAAACAGGTCTAGAAAAACAAGTAAAAAATTGTGATAGTTAATGGGTGATGTGAGGCTATATGATAGGACGTAAGGAGAGATACTACAACTGTTTAGCACACATTTGGTCAAAGGATCGATTTAACTTGTCTCTTTGATGAGCTGTATTGTGGTGCTAAGACTGGCAAAGCTCACTGACGATGCCGACTACGATGCCGGCGGAACGTCCGGGAATGTACCAAGTCCACGGTCCGACTCTGGAAATGATCATGCATACAAATTGTGTTCCTCTAAGTCTTCCTACCAATAAGACCAAGTTGCGAAAACAAGGTCAAACAACTTCTATGCAACGAAAGGCTAACACCATCCTGTTCTTCATATCTTCTAATATATATTTGCTTATTCCATTTTATCTCTTTCATATTTGAGATGCATTCCCTTAGATGAATAAACATGTACGTGTGGTAAAATCAAAATACATGTATCCATCGTCGCCAGTTCAAATGTCTACTCTAATCAAATAAGTAAGGACTAAAAATTGTGGATGTGCTTTTCCAAATGTGCTATCTTAAGCAGATCCCTTTAAACAAGTCTATATTGTCGTATCTTGGTGCGAGAATGGCAAGGCTCACTGATGATGCCGACTACGAGGCCGGCGAAACGTCTGAGA